TGTATTATGTAAAGACAAAAATGTTATTACAAAAAGAAAATATTGTACAATGTTATCGCGCAATGTGTTTGCAGAAATATCAATAAAAATAATCTTATATTCACATATGTAATCCTTATATCGATATTAATAAAGGGGCGATAAGTCAGCTTTTGTTTTTAGGAGTTGTCGCGTGCCGTACCTGAGCGTGCCAACTTTAGACGATCTGATTAGTTAACTTTAAACACTTATAATTCAAAAACTATTATGGTCTCAACATTTTGGTATTGGAACTTTTATCTTAAAATGATCTCAGGAATCTACTCTTAAACGTTAGTCCGGTCATTACGGGACACCCTGTATGTATATTAATAAATAAAAAATTAACTATACTCAAAAATAAGTATTACGAGACAAATCTAAATCTTAAAAATCACTTTTACAGATACTACATATGTATTTAATAAATAGAATTTTATTTTATTTTTTGTGATTGATATTGATTTTACGCAAAATCTAAGTTATATAAAACTTTAATTTAAAATAAAAATTTAAAAATAATTTAAAATAAAAATAAAGCATAAGAACTTGATGTACTTGAATCGCATTTAATCAAATAAAAAAATTGTGATCAAAAGATTTAGAAAAAGGATTTTATTTAAAAAAGTATTAACCAAAATGTAGCCAATCATATAAGAAAAAAAATGAAAATAAATAATTTGAAATATTGACTCAATGATGACAAAAAGAAACATATAAGGACAGGTAATTTTGTCCTATAATTTCGCAAGTGTATTTTTTCATTTAGAAAATATTATTAGAAAATATTAAACGCATGTTAATATACGTATATATATTTACCCGCGTTAAATGGTACGCTGAAAACAAAGCTTTCCGGTTCTATGGAGTGTTGATCCACTGCTCGTTTGTACCACGATGAATCCATGGCTCGTGCATGTCTTTCAGCGAACCGCCTGCGTGTAAATGTTAGAATGGCTGTGCTTAATTATTTTTGCAAGATTTGATAATAAACCGCATTAAATGACTATTGTATTTCAAAATTTTTGACTCAACAATGGACGAATAAACTATTTTATGTATATGCGTATTAGCTCTTAGCAACATAACAACATTTATAGCCGATATTCTTATCATTAAAAATAAGCTCACGGTTGCTCGGCGTTTCCGTCACTTTGATGCTCGTGCCATCGCAAGAGTCCGCTCCTGGTCGCGATGAAGCTCTTGGTGACGCCGAATCTACCCCTGCCCTGACTGCAATTGCAAAACATAGCATGTAAACCATATTCTCGATGGAACAACAAATACGCCATCAGTACGCAATTATTTGTATATTCAGTAGCTGAATTGCAAATTAAACTAATCGCTTTAATCGTGGCATGTGGAGCAATTTCTGATCGACAGCTTGTAGATTTTCTCTGTCGATTAAAATACGGGGAAATAAGTACGAGATGAAATGAAGCCACGAAAACGCTGATTTAACATACCCCAACGGAGTCAGGGTTCTTACGTAAAAATATATCTATCGATTTTCTGTTAGTTTTCTATCGTTTGGCACTTTGAATTAGTTATCGAAGGCAACGACATTTGAATACGAGAATACGTAACGATATTTTAACTTGAGTTTATCGCGTTTAATAATCGCAACATTAATTGCACTGTATGTAGAGCATCTAGTGACGATTAAATGAAAAAAGAAAGTGATTCCTTAATGAAAATTTAAAATACAATTGATAAATAAATCTTTACAATATTAATCACATTTCTTAATTGAATATGTTATGTTTTCTGCACAGAATTTCTTAATTATAAGATTATTTCTTGCTTCGGTTACAACATCATAAATATCTCGTCATTTTCCGAATAAGCGAAGAAATAATCTCGAACCTAATTTAATTGTTGCCGATAACCAAAACAGCCGACTTGATAAAATATTGCTCACTCTCGTTCTCGTTTCATTTTTATTTTCTTGACAAGAAGTTTAACTGAAAACATTACATATTTTTAACAATTTAACCGACTTTACGGCAATAAATATGTAACTTATAGATTCGATCAGAGACGGCAATTTAGAGAACCTTTATTTCTAAATTTCTTTTTTTTCCGCTTCGGACTAATCGTATAAAAAATAGGCTAGTTAAAAAGGATCGACACAAATACATCGGGTAAACTTGAATTTACCTAATGCATTCTCATCTTCTTTCGGTCTATCTATTTTTTACACGGCACTTTTCCGAAAATAGAACGACTATAGTCGACGGCTGCCAAGCGTTCACTTTAGCTCGTATATTGACTATAGTCGACAATAGAAGATCAACAATTTTCCATAATTATTTATCGATATTAAGACTTACAATTAATCTTATCTATTTATATTTAATCTTATATGTTTTAAAGGTTTATAGTAACGAATCGAAAAATATAGTAAAAGTGTTTTTCACTACATAAAACTTTTATTTAAAAAAATAGACAAAGTATTTTTTGTTGGAAAAACACGTTTTTAATAATAAAAAATTAAAATGCAAAATTATTGAACAAAAATACTGAAACAATAATATCGTTCTTTGATAAATTATTATCTGAGATAAAAAATAAGCATTTTTTTATTTTAAACTTGTCATTTTTGATTTACGGTTTAGAGAAAATTTAAATAAAGTTTATTTTTACAAAACTAGACACATCTAAATATGGGAATTGCGTTTTCTTGAAACATTTCTTTGTTATATACAAGGTGTCCGGTAATAACCGTATCAAATCTCATGGGCTGGTAGAGCAGATTAAACTAAACAAAAAAGTCCTCTACCATTTTGCAAAATTCGCAATCGTTAACAAGATATTAAATTTTGAATATGGGCAAATAAACGTGTATCCGTTCGGCCAATCGCTGAAAACCAGCGGTGGGGCGGTTATATCTCGCCGCGTTGCTATGCGCGTGGGGATAGACTCTATCTTTTCTGTTTAGTTTAATTTTCTCTACCAGCCCACGAGATTCGATACGGTTATTACCGGACACCCTGTATAACTTAAAAAAAACTAAAAGTACAAAGAAGTCTTAAAAATAATTGAATCGAAGTGGAATATATTATTAGAAGTATTACTTTAAAACTTCAAATTGATCTTACTATAAATCATAGTGTTTAAGATATCGTAGCCCATTATATTTCAAAAATAATGTTTTGAGAAAAAATAATTTGAAGTCTAGGGATATACATTTTATAATTTTGAATAATTTACTTACAATTATTAATTTATATATCAGCTCTATTTTTGTAACTTTAAACTAGTAAAAAAATGAAAAAAATTTTGATTTTGTGAAATTTTTAAAGTCCTTAAATATAAAATATAAGTCCTTAAATATAAACTCTTTAAATCTACAAACTTTTTAATAAATTACTACCTTAACTTACATTTAGCTTTTACGGTATTTAACTCTGCAAAGATATTCCCTTAATTTCCTTTCTCTTAATATCTATATATACATTATTTTCTTATCCTTCTATAAGGAATCACTGTCTTTCCGACTGTACTATTAGTTTTAATATATATAAAAACGGATGTACTTATAAAGATTATTGTCAAAACATACGCGTACAATTTAATGTAACTTTTTGCGCGTATATTAGTCATATTTATCGTAATCACAAATTAGGCATTCGATTGTAATTTTTACATCTTTGTCCATCCAGATAAAGTAATAAACACATTTTAAATAGTATCATCATATTTTAAATACGATCATCACAAAGTATTACCGTGCATTATCGACAAACATGTTTAACGTGTTAGACAAATAATTGTGCATAATGGATTACCTGTGCAGTAGAGCCATCAGTATGGCAATAGGGCTAGCGGTGGAGACACACAATAATAAAATGTAATAAAAATATGCAATAAATGATAATATTGTGAAATGAAATATTGGACAGTTGCTCATAATTGCACTTGGCATATTACAAAGTAATAACTTTTGTCGCACTGCGATTTTTTTTGTACGATATACACCTATGTTAAAGAAATTGTGCGAGCAGTCTCTCGCTTTTAATATCCTACATATTCATTGCACGTGTATATATAGTTTCTCTTTTTCATACACGTACAGATTCAATCGAATTCCGAACAATACTCGGCGACCGTCAGAAACTTTATCCGTCTATCAATGCTATAAAAAAAGTATGTGTATATTGCAGACTTAAGATTTATTATTTGCTACACCTCACGTAAACAATAATTATGCAAACTATCACGAGCTATATTCAAGGCAAAGTGGCAGTTAAACAATTTGCAAAAGTGACCGGCACTAGGTGGTGCGTGAATGGTAAATCGCGTGCTTTGTGCATTGCTGTGCTCGATTGCAATTTGCAGTTGGTGTATAAATGGGTGAGAATGAAAGATAGACGTGCACTCTTGCTTACTGCCGTCGCGGAACTTACTTCTCGTTTTCTTCTTTATGCATTCTTTGCGATTCCCTCTTATCGAATCCGTCTGTCACCAGAGCATCCAAGACCAGTGATTGCACTAGTTTTTTGTCACCTGAAATGTGACAGTCGTATTAAATCGGCATTATCATCTATTAATTGATACAGCTCAAGAAGTTTAAGATAAGGGGTAATTTTTTTAATGTACCCAATTTTGTGATTTAAATTAGAAAATTAGAAATTTTTTATATATAATGAAATTTATCCAAACAACTTTTATAATATGTCACTGTACAGTATTTTTTAATTCTCTTGTTCTTTAATTTAAATTTAAACATTTTCATATTTAACCGAATAAATTTGCAAATCTGATATCATATTTGTAATTAGTAATTAAAAAAACTTCGATCTACATCTTGTATTAAATTTTGTTTTTTATAAATTATTTTACTTATAATTACGAGAGAAAATTGAAGGGATAGCAACTGTCCTTAAAATGGCTTATTGTTAGTAAAATAGAATTATAGTAAATATGAATCAAATTATTATATGTATTTTTTATAGTTCTACTATATCAAATGAAATCGGAGTATCGCTAGAGTAGGTTTATTTCAGTTATATTATAGTCACACCATCCGTACTTTTTTTTCTCAAAAATAGATAGTGGTCGAAAGTTGGAGAAAAATTTTTCATTACCTATATAAACTATTTAATGGTGGTATTTCAATTTTCCGGAAACTACAGAAGTAGGGTATAAAACCTGGATAAAGTTTGAAATTTTCAATAGGAACATAAGTCAAGTGAAATCATTGAATAAGTTTTAAAAACGAACATCTTTTGCTTCAACTTTTTTTATGTCACTTTCGGATCATGAGAAAAATAAGCAAATGTCATAGATTAAAAATCATTCATATTTCCAGACATTAAATGTTGGGGATTTAAAAATTAAACTTTTTTAAACCAAATTCTATGCAATGAATCGAATAAATGATATTTATGCTTCTAAGAATAAGCTCAGGAAGTAAAGAAAATTGTAGATAGTAAACATTTAAATTTAAAATATAAAAATTTGTATTCAAAGATGTTTCTTTTCAATAGATCTATTCAACGATACCATGTACTCGCATATGTTTTAATTTAAAATTTAAGAGTTTTCTGTACTTCCGATTTATTCCTGAAAAGAGACACAAATATCGAAATATTATCGCACGAGGATTTGATTTAAAAAATTTTAATTCAAACTTCCGATAATATTTGATATCTAGAAAAATGGATGAGTTATAATTTGTAACATTTGCTTATTTTTCTCGTGAATAATATAAAATAGTTTAAGTTATTAACGATAATGGAGCTGTTAAGCCAAGCTAGGTGTAACGTCCTAATAATCTTATTTTGAACTGTGGCGGTAAACAATCTTTAATATTATATAAATACTTGAAGTACAATAAAAATTATTCCAGACGCTTCGATCCTTTTACATAGCGGTCATCCTCAGTGGGAATATAACGAATTAAATAACCAATCTTATAAACATGTAAACGCATTTGCTCGCAATTTATAAAAGTCTGATGTTATACAATTCTTGCCTTGGCTTCTAGATTTTCCAGGAAGCATCATCTTTAGTCCGTGAATAGATGTATGTTTGAATATCCAGAAATCATTAACTGTTGAGAGAGAGCTGCTCTCAACAAAATGGAATATATGGAAAATATGAAGGGTATGCTTAATGATAGAACCACGTATGATATTGTGCCAAAAGACTAAAAAACTTACCGCAGATCTACGATCATTATTATCTTGTTGGAAGGGGAGGAGTTACATTGACACGGACACTTACAAAAAAATTTTAACTACGGACGGCATTCTTCCGAGGGCCTATGGCTTATCAAAGATACATAAAATAGGAAATCCACTCAGAATTATAATCTTTTCTATTAACAGCCCGTTATATGAGTTATCAAAATATTACAACATATAGTACAACATCATGAACTTAAACATTCCGAAACCAGCAAGTTATGTTAAAAATAGCCACCATTAACTAAAAAAGCTGAATGGTTTAATTTTGAAATCAGATGCAGTGTTTGCGTCTCTAGATGCCTCTAGATGTGGTGTCACTTTTCACCAATGTGCCACCCACAGAATTAGCTGTGGAAAGCATTTCTCAGAGATGGCATATGTTTTTAAATTTCACTAACATCCCCCACGATGAATTCATAACTGCTGTTAAATTAGTGTTAAATTCCATGTTTTTTACTTTTGATAACAATTTTTACAAACAAATTTTTGATACGCCAATGGATTATCCTGTGTCTCCTGTTCCACTGTTGCGGATTTTGTATTACAGGACTTAGAATGCAGAGCTCTGTCAATGTTGCTTATCCAATTACCTATTTATCTTAGATATGTAGACATTTTGTAAATGGCCCCGAGAGATAGTCTGAATTGTATATTGAACACGTTTAATTTGTTTCATGAACGATTACCATAGTTCACCATCGAAATTGAGCAGAATGATCGTATAAACTTTTTAAATGTCAGCGTAATTAATAACAACGGTCGGATTATATTTGATTTATATAAAAAGCCTACGTTCTCAGAAAGGTACTTAAATTTGAACTCTAATTCGATAGATCATAAGAGGGATATCATTTTCGGAATGGTGGACAATATTATTTTATTATCCCATCCTCAGTTCCATCAAAAAAATTTTACATAGTTGATTAATACCCTATTAAATAATAGTTACCCCCTAAAGTTTATTTTTGCCACAATATAGAGAAGATTAAAATGTCTCTTTTTTGATCATTCGGAAAATTGTGATAACACTCACAATCTCACCCTAATTGACAACAAAAAGATTCATTTTACTGTTCCGTATGTAAGCTCAATGTCGGAAGAGTTCACTTCGATTGCAAAAAAATTAAATTGTCAAATGGCCTACACTATTCCTAATAATTTGAGAAGTCTTATAGCGACAGGAAAGGACATTTTAAATATAATAGAATGTCTCAATGTGATGTCGTTTATAAGATTGATTGTCTTAATTGTGAGATCATATGTTGGACAAACAATTCACGAATACAAGTCCGACATTAATAAAGAGTGGCTCTCCATCGGTTATTTCGGAACATCGTCTTTTCGAAAGACATGAGTTTGATTGGGATAATATCAGAATTCTAGATAAAGAATCTTCATTTGTAAGAATCATCTTACAATTAGATAAAAAGAATGTATCCGAGATGATAGATATTATAAAACAATCTAGAGCACTAAACAAACAGAGTGATACGGAATTGTTATCTGATTCTTATCTCCCCATCCTTGATTCCTTTTCCACATAATTTCCATCACTCTTCTACCACCCCTTTCACATCCTATCCTCTCCCCAAACCTTGACT